AATTCATAAAGCAGTGAATATTGGTTCTCAGAAGTGGATGAGATAGTATATGATTTAAGAGTGAAAATGATGTTGCTATTCTTCATAAAAAGTTCACTTGAGAATGTTCTAAAAGTGCTGAGTATTAATATTAATACTCAGGTATTAATTACAGGTATTTTGTGAGTTCATCCCAAGCTATCTTATACCCATCTTGAAGTTATTTCTGATCATAGTTGTGATTCTTGCTACTCAATGTGTGGACTAGAGACTAACAGCATTAGCATCATCTGGAATCTTGTAAGAAATGCAGAGTATTAGATCCTATCCCAGCCTTCCAGAGTCATAATCTGAATTTTAACAAGATCTGCAGGTGATTTTTTGCATTAGTTTGAGAAGTGCTGCTCTAAGATGTTAGTTAGGTTATTGAAAAGTTTATATTGCTCCAGGCTTTTGAGAGTAATGTTCTCTTTTTAATGTTTTCTATCATTTATTTAGGACTGATAAGGAGAAAGGAGTTCTTCAGGTCTCAAGAGTACTTTGTAGCAAATTGCCTTTTCTGCTTCACCTAGTGATGTTCAATGGCCTGAAAGATTGAGCAGTTTAGCAGTTTACTGCTTAAATGTCAAGCTTTACTCTCTTTTCATTAATAGTAGTCAGACTCAGAATCTTTAGATTCTGGATAACAAAGATAGTAAGGACATTATCTGAATTTTATTAAGGTTTTGGGAGTTGGGGGAATGTCTTTCTGAGTTTATTCACTACATTGTTTATAATTCTGATATACCTAGTAATATGGCTTATAGATACTGGTCCCTACATTAGTGTTACCTAAGGAATTAATTAAAAATTTAGATTCTCAGGTTATGCCCAGGACATTCTGATTGAGGAGAATGAGGATGACTTGGAATCGGTATTTCTAAGAAACTCCTCAGTCGCAAAACTGCACAGCCTGTTTTGTAAACCATTATTGTAGTCAGTTTCCTTTCTGTTAAACCCTTTGCATCTTCCATGTTCATTTTGTATATTGTCAGTAATTTCATTTATTTTTGTATAAATTTAGAAATTTAGGCAGCAGAGAATAGAAAAATAAAATTTATTTATTGCAACATAAAACCTGGTTCTCATTGAAAACTTACTTCTGCAGTTTCTCTCTCCTTTGTGCTTTGTGCCTATTCCTGATGTCCTCTGCGTTCTGATAGTTCTACAGCACCTGTGTTATGGACGGTTTTGCCTAGGTCTGTTGGATCAAGACCTTCACTATGGGGAAGATCAGAGCAGCTCTTGCTGAAACCTGTCAGGAGTCAGGGAGTTGTCTATTCAGACAGGAACTTCAAACTAGAAAACCTAGAAGACTCAGACACCTTGTCTCAGGGTGCGATGTGTTGTGATGAACTCATTTTCCGGGCAGGTGCCCAGGACCTTGTATATTTGGGAGGAAATACAAGTCAGTTAAATGGATAAAGGTTAGATGTGTTCATCTTTATTTGGTAAAGGGATAGGTGGCTCTAGAACATTTCTGAATTGCAGAATAAGTAGATATCAAAGCTAAATAATCTTAATTACTTAGATATATTGCTAGATATATCATGTGCCAAGCTCCTTTAATGGAGACATTCACAAAACTTCTTCCACCTCCTAAGACTTTAATAAAACATAGGTAATGAATGCCTTTACTATCTTTGCTTTTTGGAATCTTAAGATTCTGAGTCTGACTATTGAGAAAAGAGAGTAAAACTTGACAATTAAATAGTAAAATGCTAAACTGCTCTATCTTTCAGGTCATTGAATACCAGTAGGTAAAGCAGAAAGGCTTAGGATATATTCTACCTGGCAATGCCCTAAAGTAAAAGATCTTCTATTAATAGAAAATAACTTGGTTTTAAAAATATTGTTTGTCATGGATGAGGTACATGGGAGAATGGAAAAGGATGATATTAAAATACCAGTTTGTAAGTTTAAACTCTTGCAGAAAGAGTACAAAATGCAGGTTCACACGGAACAGAGGAGCTTTATTTAATTTTAGGATTTATACTGGTGAGCCCTTATTTGCTTACTACAAGTGTTAGTTAATATTCACAAAAACCCCATTAACACGCACTTTTATTTTCATTTTGCAGATGACGAAACTGAGACAGGTTCAGTAAATTATTCAGAGTTACAAATATAGCAAAATACAGGGCCAAGATCGAAACTCCAGCAATCTGGTTCAAGTACCCTCTTATGCCTGCTAAATTATTTCTCCAGTGAGAACTGAGAGTCTGCTGTTTTAAAATAATTTTGCTGTGCGGTGCTCTGGAATTTCTTCTCTTGTATGCTGATACTTTCTCCTCCTTCTTGCACTAGTATTTACCGTCTTTATTTCTTGAAATAGAATGACTATAATCCTTTGGAATTTTTGCACTAGAGCCACTGATTTTGGTAGAAGTGTCAGTAGCAATTTATAGTCTTAATTCATAGGCAGGGATCCCATTAGAGATGTCAAGCAGAGATCTCACCATGTCAAGGAACCACAAACTCACTGCCAAGGTGGGAAGTGAATCATTAGAAATATCTTGAAGGTCAATCAGTTGTTTTGTTTCTTTTTTTAAATTTTTGTGACTCACTAGATTATATAGAATATCTTCAGTAAGGTAATTTTGGATTTACAAGCTTATCTCCCATTAGATTCTGCTAGGATGTAGTTTTAGTAAGATTATTTGGATGAGGTTCTCAGAGGCTCTGGGTCCTAGATTTTAGGCTTTGTCTGTTGCCCTTTGTGATATTAATCCTGTCTTTGGATTTTCTGGCTTTGATATTGGTGGCAAGATCCTTACTCTTGGTCATAGATATCTTAGCCCTAAGGATTAGGTTATTTCCACTTGAGAAATTTAATTTTACTATTGTACTTTTATGGTTAGTTCATCCTCAAATTATTTGTCATTTGTTGTATTTATCTTTACTACTTAGACAATGAAGAAATAGGAGAAAAAATTGAAAGAAATCTTCTGTAAAAAGTTAAATATCTGTATTTATTCTAGAAATGTAAGCCTTAATTGTGTGCTCCATTAAGTAAGTATTCTTCACAAATACTTGCTGAGGTTTTGTTATGGCTTATACCTTTGACTTTCTTTTCCATAAAAAAGGAACATTCATTTGGAATTTCAACCATGTGACATGTTTCATAGGGAATAAAATATCAATATAGAAATGATTACAGTCCCAAAGTCATTTGATTAATGGGTACAATATATAGTTAGATAGAAGAAAAAAGGCCTAGTGTTTGCTAAATCAGTAGGATGATTGTAGTTAACATTAATCTAGTGTACATTTAAAAATAGCTAGAAGAGAATAATTTGAATGTTCCTAGCATAAAGAAAAGATAAATATGTAAGGTCATGGATATCCTAATCACTCTGATTTGATCTTTATACATTATATGATGGTATCGATTTATCACATGTACCCCCCAAATATGTACATCTATTGTGTATCAATAAAAATAATAATAAAAGGTAAAAATATTTAGCTCTAGATGACCCTTCCAGTATGTGGATTGGCATTTTTCCTCTTATTTATTCCTCAAAGCCATTGTCACATCTTGTCACTATCTCAGATGTGCTAGAATGTGCTTCCTTCCCCTTCCTTCTCCTTGACAGATAGCTCATTTTCATTCTTTGATTTTATGTATCTCCCTCAGAAAGCCCTTCCTGACTACCCTAAGCAGCCTTCCTACCTGCATTACCATCCTTTCCATGTGATTCTTAGCACATACCACTCTTTGTACTTACAGATTTATTTACAGTCTTTATGTGAAGCTTGTCATTCCTGACTAGACTCTAAGCACCAGATGGGCAAGGACTATGAATCTTTTATTCTCCAGTGTGTACCCAGTGCCTGGCAAATAAATATTTTGATGATTATCTAAAATTACATATATTTGTCCCTATCTTACATAGCTTTAAGTAATACTTCACAAAACTTATTTTGTCACTTTAAGTTTACAGTAACTCATGGCATATTATATCCAACAAGGACAAAGTATTTCACATGGTATTTATTTAGAGAGCCATACAAAGCTAAAGAAAGTATATTTTATTCCAAATCATTTGTGTAACTTTCATGTATGCTTTTTACAGTGCAATACCTCTGTTCTTCTTTGTTAATCAAACATTTGTCCTAATATAGCAGTTACTGTTCTTTGACAGCAGTTGATGCTATGAAATTTGACAACAAGATTGCCTTGTTTTATGCCATTGAAAAGAGAAAACACACATCCTTTTAGTAAATATGTCCGTAAAGCATATATCATGCCATTTGACACCCAACAGACTCAAATTTGTTGAACATATATATGTCCTTATAGATGGATAGAATTTGTTTAGAAAAATCTTGGGTTTTTAATACAACTTATTTTCCAGATTATGTTGATCAGTCAACCATATTTAATTGACTAAATGGATTTAAATTTGATGATAGAAAAATACATTTTATTTCAATAGTTTAATAATTAACATTTTATATCTTTTAGTTTATTTTAATATATGGAAAACTATATAAAGCACTTTAGCATTAGAAATGTAAGTGTAGTTTTAGGGGGGAAAACACCTGAATTTAACTTAAATAATAGTGAGAAGGGCATTGAAGAAATCAGGTGAAAAATATATGGATGTATTAAAGTGATGTAATTGATGATTATCCATCAATGTAAAATGAATAGGCCAGGGCATTAGATTATAATGCAAACCAATCAGTTTTAATGCTCATCACCTGGAATGTATGCACACGTGTGTGTGTGTGTGTGTGTGTGTGTGTGTGTGTGTGTGTATCTGTTACTGCTAATATAACAACAGTGACCTTCACATTCTTTCTACAGAATTGAAAATGCCAGTTAGTTACATTCTAATTTCTGGATGTTTAGATTAGGGTATTTCATTCTACCTACTACATTGCATGAGATAAAATTCAGGTGCTTAAAGCCTATTAAAAAAAAAAAACCTTCAGAATGCTGTATTTGCAGTGACTGTTTTCTTCTTCTGCAGGAGAGCACACAGCTGCTACAAATGCCGTCAGTGCAGTTTTACAGCTGCTGATACTCAGTCACTACTAGAGCACTTCAACACTGTTCACTGCCAGGAACAGGACATCACTACAGCCAACGGCGAAGAGGACGGTCATGCCGTATCCACCATCAAAGAGGAGCCCAAAATTGACCTCAAGGTCTACAGTCTGCTAAATCCAGACTCTAAAATGGTAGAGCCAGTTTCCGAGAGTGTGGTGAAGAGAGAGAAGCTAGAAGATAAGGACGGGCTCAAAGAGAAAGTTTGGACTGAGAGTTCAAGTGATGACCTTCGCAACGTGACTTGGAGAGGGGCAGACATCCTGCGGGGCAGCCCGTCATACACTCAAGCAAGCCTGGGACTGCTGACACCTGTGTCTGGCACCCAAGAGCAGACAAAGACTCTTAGGGATAGCCCTAATGTAGAAGCTGCCCATCTGGCGCGACCTATTTATGGCTTGGCTGTCGAGACCAAGGGATTCCTGCAGGGGGTGCCAGCTGGCGGAGAGAAGTCCGGGGCCCTCACCCAGCAGTATCCTGCATCGGGAGAAAACAAGTCCAAGGATGAGTCCCAGTCCCTGTTACGGGTAGGAAGGTTTAATTTTTAAATAGTTCATTTATTTCCAAGGGAAAAGAGGGGGGAGCACACGTTCACTACATTCAGTATTGTGTTTTATGTAGTTAAACTTAATCATCTATATACATCACTGGGGATTTATCCTTATAAGGCTAAAGTGGCAGAAAGTCGCTCATGTGTGTTTGTGTGTAATGTACACTTGGTACAGTGTTAGGCAGTCACTTGTTTGTCTTTGCTCTTAGCTCAGATTGAATGTTGGTTCATCATTTCTGGTGATTATGCAAAACAACAAGGCTGCATTTGGAGAAGGGAGGTTTGGAATCCCAGAAGGATGCACATCTGTTACATTAAAATAACTTAATGACTTTTAAATTTTAAGGGGGTATCACAGTATCTGGTTAATAAGAAATTTAGCAGAGATTTAAGTCACTAAGAATATAATGCTCTTGGTGAGATGTTAATACAAAAATATAGTGTTTTTTTAAACTTACAGTATAATTATGTACTAATGGCAATGCTTGTTTAGTTTGCCAAGAAGAGGAGAAAAAAATGAGAAAAGCCTAAATGTGAATTGTGTGAAGAGCATCCAAAGAAGAGTACCTTGCACTTTATATTATCAGGATCTTCTAGAGAGAAAGACAGCACCATGTGGATAGAGAAAACCAAACCAGATCCTCAATTGCTGTCTTCATGCTGTATAGAGTCAGCACTGTTAAGAAATCTTTTAGCTTTTGAAACTTCACGTGCTGCCAATAAGTGATACTTGCTTTTTGCCTAAGGCATCACCTCTTTGACATTTCACCTTCACTCTGTTAAAAGTTTTGAGCTTTATGGATGATTTTGAAGCTTTGTTCCTGCGTAGAAGGTAGGATCAGAAACTAACTAACTTTTACAAAAGACTCAGTTAGGAGTTCAGTCAACCCAGTGCTTTGACCCGTGGGTCAGAGACTGGTGAGGTCTCTCTGGATGTATACTGGGGAGAAAAATTGCTCTTCCCGATGTCTGCTTGGCTTCTCTGTTCTCATTTCCTGCAGATTCCCTGAAGCCTGTCTGTGCTTCTCAGGTATTCTCTAGTGGAGTTGAAAAACGCCCCTTAGAGGGGCACAGTTAATTATAAAAGCTGTTACCTTTCCCATCTGTAGTCATGCCCTGGAGCAAGAGAAAGGCTTGAATACAGAAGAGGGAATGCCCGCTGTACACTGAGAAACAGAGACTTTCCTGCAGGGAAGGGCAAGTTTATTAAGAGTAACTTTGGAAAGAAGAGAAATAGTTCCTGTGCCTTTCAAGATGGGGTTCTCAGGGAGCTTCCTTCAAATACATATGTACGGAACTGCATTTTTATAATTGTAAATGCTCTTCATTTTCTTAGCATGTCAGTACTTTTCTGGTCTCAGTGACTCATGGCTTCTGGTTAAAAGGCAGGAATGAAATGTTCTACATTGCACTGATTTCATACTGCATCTTGTGATTGTGAGTACTTGGTTGCCTTACATTGGTATCACAAGAGCCCTGTTTCCTTCTTTTTTCCATTTAAAATTTTTTTCATCCCTGACATCTTTATTTGATGCCAAATTGTTTTGACTCTATTAGACTGTTACTGGAATATTACCTTTTCTGTCACCGTTTGTATACTCATAGAATTTGAAATGACAAGTAATTAAGCAGTGATATCAAAAACCTGAGCACAGTAGTTAAAATTTTTTGAGCATTCTGAGTATGATAATGGTTTTCTTAAAAAAGGTTTATCTTAATTATTCTACTTCCTTAATTCTCTGACTTCAAGTCTATATTGCATCATTTCAACTGTCTTTTCAGTTCCTCTACTTAGCTGCTGAAGTAGGAAATCTTCAGTGCTCTCCTGAGCCATGTTCTACAATGAGTAACCAAATTCCTAACCCTATGATTTATTATCTTACTAAGTTCCAGAGAGCTGACAAAATTATATATTAGTTATACACACACACACACACACACACACACACACACATATATTTTTAGAAAGAGCCTTGAATCATTCTTCTGTGATTTTAGTAAAATTTGAATGTTTAAAGTTCATATTTTGTCTTTTAATAATGCTTTTGGAAACCACCAATTGTATTGGCTATTCGGAATAGGGAGGATAGCCAGTTTGTTTGTTTTTTTGTGCCACATTAAGTGAATATAAGATTTTTGATGTGTACATTGCATATCTTAGCTGATGAACTTTTTAAGACAACTAAACTAATTAAGAAGCAGTGCCCATTCTGACTGTGAATTTGACAAAAATTCTACTTGGTGGTAGAAATTGGTATTCCCAAGTTACCATAGCAAATGCACACTTCTCAATTTATTATCCTGCCATCAGTAAGAAAAGACCCCCGCAGAATTTTGCCATCCTGTTTATGAAAGGCCAAAACAATGTACTTTAATCTTGTGGTTGTAATGGTCTAGTTATTAGTGAATGTGTGCTGTAATAATTTATAAATATACAATAGAAATCTACAAATATAATTTATGTGTTTTGAATAAAAATACAGTAGTCTGTAAAAATATATACCTACAGAATGGATATTCATATTTGAGTTTAAACAGTAGAATGGAACTTGAAATTAACTATCTTGCTGTTTAGCATGTTTATTTAGAAATAGTAAGCATTTAAGAAATGGAGGATATCGGGTTTTAAAAATGAACTTTTTATTAAATAGTGAATTCAACATAGCATTAACAGAGCAAGTATATTGTTAATAATAAATACATTAATACATAGTTTCTAATACTAACGGTAAAAAAAGAAATGGTAATCATCTTTAAATACTGTAGAGTGGTATCAAGAATTAAGTAGGGGAAATTTGTCCAACAGAAAGTGTTGATTTTAAACCATTCAACACTATGCTGGTAAATAATGGGAACATTTTAAAGGGATAGGCTAAATGTAATTAGGGTTGTATCACAAAGCACATAATTATAATGTTGATTTCAGAATATCAGTCTTACTAATACATGGTTTTTTAGTGGTTTTAATGATGCACGTTTGCTGTTCTCCTTAAAGTGAGGAAGGAAATATAAAAATCACAAGAATAGCTAAAATTTCAAAATGCTGTCTTCATTAGTGTTAGTAGTTTTCTTTTTTTTTCCCCTAGGCTTTAAGTTTTGCATTCAGTGGCAGATCATTTATGTATATTTTCATTTAGTGAATGTCTACATTTTCCCTTGTTTATTAGTATGAAATTGATCTTGTTTTTAAGAATTTTAAGTTGTGTATGTCACCTACGTAGACCATTATGCTTTGAATCTGACAAAGGGTTAAGCTTTAGTTTATAAAATACTTTCGGAAAATCAGATTTTTTGTTGCATATTAACTGCACAATAGTTCTATAAAATCACTGGGTATTTTCTTTTTTTTAGTTGGAATAACTATTAAAGCTTTTGGAATCTTTGCTATAAATAGTCAAAGTTTATATGAAAACTTTAATTTATACTCCTAAAATTTCTAGAATAGAAGTTTTATAAAACATGAACAAATTCTGGAAAATGGTCACCAAAATTTTTATTTTGAAATTATTTTGAAAACTCAGAGTTTTATTAGTCACTCTGTGAAGAGATTAACATATTTAACATTGCTTGTGCTAAAAACGTAACCCCATTAATTTTATATATTCCAATAGATGTTTCTTTATCATTTTAAAATAAATTTGTGTAGTTAGGACTCATGTACAGTTCTGTGCCTTTTGTTTGACCAGTTTCTTCTATAATGTAGATTTACAAAAAAGTATCTATTTATGTATTTATTTTTTAGATTAAACTTTTATGCAGAGTCAACTGTATTCTAGATTCATTTTTATAATGGGATTTTTAGATTAGATTTTATAGTTCAGAAAGCTTTAACTTTTACCTGGTAACCACATTAGTAGGGACCCAAAATAAGTCATTAAATTTTACAAAGGTTTTGCCTGTATCACATATATTTTTCATATGTTAATAAAATGCAGAAGTATAATTAAGTTTAGCAGGTAACGCTGTAGGGGGAGCTTATGGCAAATCAACGTTCAGGTAAACTCCTCGGTGTTATTTGTCAAAACAGAATGTCATAGATTACTCATAGGCTCAAATTCTTCCATAGATTCAAACGCCGTAGACATCAGACCACTTATTTCATACACCAAGGGGAAAGATAATTCTCTTTGAGATTAGTTTTGGTTTCCAGTGTAAATTTATTTAGGAAGGTTTGCCAGTTTTAACATCTACATTTTACACTGCTTGGTTTCAGCGGAGATGTTCAGCCCTGGGCCTGTGGGAGTAGAGTTCCAAGTTGAACCTCTGACAATCAAAGGAAGGGCCTCCCAGGATCTCCATTCATCTGTCGCTTAGAGAGGATCATACTGCCTGCCATCCTCACAGGAGTGTTGTGCAGCTTAGTTAATTAACGTTTGTCAGCCATTTGAGATCCTCAGATGCAGAGTGCTAGATAAGTGGAAGTAGTCTGATTATTTGTTCATTTTGTAAATGTGATACCAGGACAGTACAATGCAAATGTTATTTCCCCCTTTCTTTAGCGGTGTTAAATTTATAGTTTAAAGATTGTTGATACCAGACAGTCTATTGAGATGCAAAAATGTTCTTTTGGGGACAGTCCATTGGCAGCCAAACAGACGTTCAAACAAGTGACAATGTTGAATGTCTTTACAACCACTGACAGAAGACTGCAGGAGTGTTTTTTTTTTTTTTAACTAAAGTTGATCTGAAGTGAAAAGTGATATCCATTATTTTGCTTCATATTTAATTAAAATAAAAACAGAATTTCAGTTATCATATAGGTATACCATATTGACTTAACATAATGTTTGTGTACATAACTGTGTTCTTCATTGTATTTGAACTTTTTACATGTGCAAATACCAAAGAGATCAGACTGTATCAGGAAAAAGAAGCATGTACCTCTCTAATCAGTAGCTATGAAGCAGTGATTCTAGACCCTGCTAATAAAGTTTCTCTTTAGGTAGTAGTTGAATATTTTATTTGCCCAAGAAAAAG